CTGTACTTCCTGCCTGGTCACCTTCGCCCCGTCTGTACTTCCTGCCTGGTCACCTTCGCCCCATCTGTACTTCCTGCCTGGCTACTGGCCAATCAGCATTTTATTAAAAATAATACAAGTGACAGGATAAAAGACCATCGTCCCACAGCCCTGGATTGAAGGTGTTCCTGCCTCAAAGATCCAGATTAGAAGTAGATCTTCCATTTTTCATTAAGCAAAAATTCCTCACAGATGTGCCCTTCCATTTCTGTGTTTAGTTACAGATGTAGTCAAGCTGACAACCCAGAATAGCCATCACAAGTCTACTTGTCAACCTGACACACAATCATACCTCCTTATGTCGTGATTAATTTCCAAATGAAAACAATAACCGGGTCATAATTAAACCTAACATGATATAACTGCCCCTCATACAACCACAAATACATTATAAGTTTAGAATATGTGGCAGTGACCCTTGAAGGACATTCTCTTAGTATCTAAAATGTAAATATAATAATTATTGATATTCTCTTATTTGGTGCTATGTAACAACTAAAAACTGAATAAAGAAAATATAAATATCTTTACAAATGCATTCTTTATAAAATATGAGAGAACCACTCATTTCAGTTATAATCCTCATTTCTAGGTTGCATGGCCTTAGCTGGTATTTATAACTATATTCATCTACACCCATTCTGTAATTCATCCACCCTTGGCAAGAACTCCAGCAGGTCTTAGCTCTTTTCCTGGCATAATGACCCATTCCTTCATTCCCAAGGGGGCTATTGTAATTTCTCATGGACTTCAATCACAGGATATAGTAGCACCCTAAAGGATCTCCTACACTCTAGACATCTCTTACCTCCATTGTGGAGAAGCAATCCAGTTTCTCCTTGATAATCTGGAACAATCACCTGCCTAATACTGTTAGTCCTTTCTTAGCCTGTTGGCTTTTAAGAATATCAGAAGCACAAAGTGGCGGGGGTGGGGGGATGGGGGGTGGGGGAGGAATCTGAGCTTTCAGTCCAACAGAATGTTTGTTTGACTCCTAGCAGAAGCACTCCCCACTCTGGAACCAAAACTTTAAAAGTAGTTTTTTATGGTTCCCCACTTACTGTCCTGAGAAATGGATGACAGTACGAGCAGTAGCTAATCAAACCGATAATCTGATCTGTCTTACTCAATATGTCTTAGATAAGTGCTCGTATTTAGTGGGTGGTTGGGTGGGGAGTTTATTAAGGTAGTATGCAGAGAATGGTTGAAGAAAGAGCTTCGTGCAAGTCAAAATATATGATCTTGTATGCTAAAAAAAAGTAAAATTGATGCTCAGATTACTAAAGTTGTATGACAGATTTTAAAAATAGACTGTGTATTAACTTTTGTCTAAACTGCTCTATATTGATGTAAGTAATATTTATTTTCCTTCATGAACTGTGGTGCTTCCTGTTGAGAACATTTTTTGTGCAAACAGAACCTTCAATAAAACTTTCATATCCCTTAATCTTGGAGCAATTTAAAATGTTTTTAAATTGAGACTATGTTTTATCCACTCAACATTTATTGAATTCCCTAGTAAAAATCATTGGAAGAAAGCCATAATGTTTTTTCAGAATATTGGGATTAATGCTGAAGATGATTGAAATAATATTTGAGCAATGTAGGGTATTATAAATGGCTTACAGACATTTGAAGCTCTCTCCCAGTATAGGAAGTAAACATCTTGGGAAATATGAAAAATTAGAGCATCCATTGTCTGCAATAGAAAAAATTCAACTAACAGAACTCTATCTTAATATTTATGAAACTTATGAAAACTTGAACAGCTGTATGTCCAAAATTATTGGAAATATGGTAGCATAGTTTTGAAGAGGACAGGCTGAAATTTTTCCTTAATAAAAGAACAAGTCTTTTTTATTAGAATTTTTTCATGTATATTAATGCTTTGCCTGCATGACACACATGCCTGGTGCCTACGGAGACCAGAAGAGGGCGTTGGATCCCTCAGAACTAGCGATACAGATGGTTGTAAACTGCCATGTGAGTGCTGGGAACCTAACCCAAGTCCTATGCAAGAGCAGCCTTTGCTATGAACTGCTGAGCCAGCTCTCCAGTGTCAGAATAATTTTTAAAATGAAGGTTTTGCTTTATTAATGATTCTAGAGTGCGCTTGAATAACCCTTTTTTATAAATTGACAATATATGTTATTATACATTTGATCTCCATCATGTTTTATTGTTGAACACTAAGAAAGAATACACAGCCCTTTGTGACACAAGTACCTATATACCTGTTTACTTCTTAGATTTTGGTAGACCACTTGTTTTGCTAGTCTTTGGAATTAGAAGGAGTGTCAAGTACACAGAAGCCAGAGTCATCTCGGCCAGATGGTGTTTGATACAGATGGATGGTTAGTTGTCATGCAGATCTCCTAGTTGGTAACTTGTTGCTGCCATCTGACTCAAAGAATCATTCACACACACTGGCTGTCAAAAGCATCTTCTCTTCTGTCTGTTTTAGCTGTCATGTCTGTGCTCTGTACAGAAGTGTTGACAAGACATTACTGTTGTACATTTTCAATGTGGTTGTTAGTGAGTTTTCTGTTTGCAGGGTCTTTGATAGTACTGGAATGCACTTGCTTTGTAATTGTATGTTTTAAAATGCTGTGATTTGCATTGATTTTCTCATCTTTTAAAAAGATTTCATGCTATTTGTTTATTCACAATCATTTGATTTAAAAAAAAAGATAAGTAACCTTGTTTTACTTAGTTTTCAAGCATCTAAAGCAAGGTCATTATCCCTCCATTACTTCAGGGCATTTTTGAAGGCATATCTATTTCTCAGATATTTCATTAACAATTTAATTAACTTGTTACTCAATTAATGTATACCTGTATACCAAGCACCTCAATATATGCCAGACACTGTGTGATACTAGTGATTACAGAAACAAGTAGTCTCTGCTCATCAGACATGAAGATAAGACAAGAATTCTTTAACTACCATAAACAACTACATGAAATGACCAGGACATGCTCTACTATTTGTCCAACTACACTTTCAGCATATGTGACTTTAAAATACATTACCATCTGATTTAAGAAATAGTTCAAGACTTCTATGTGAGATAGCCATTGATATATTAACTTTTCCAACTATTGAATACATTATTTATTATAATATGTTATAAGCAGATGTGCTGAAGTGTATCTTTAAGCTAGAGAGAGAAGATGAAAATTAATTGGCAGAAGTGTTCTGAGTTGGCTCCAAATGAACATACATGGTCTTTTGGTTTCTTCACTAAAACTGGGGAGAAAGCATAATAAATGAAGAATGGGCTGAGTCTTGAATGACTTAGGCATTTATTCTCAGCCTATCTCTAATTTTCTGCTTTTTAAAATCTGCTTACTTGCTCACTGAACAGCAGTAGAATATATATGCCCATCCAGATACAGTGAAAAATAGGTAATTATTGAAATTACTTATTGATGTTTATGAAGAATTTTGAGTTCTTTGAAATAAAAATGTCCTAAATGCATGAAGTACATAGGGAAGTCCTTAACATATTGCTGACTCTTTCACCTCATGAATTGTATGTAGCCCAGATAATTTTAAGGTATTAAGAACTAACTAATGTTTGCACCCTTTTTGTAGTCAGCTTACCACACTCATTCCAGCAGCTTGGGTGCCAGTGTATGTAAGGATAAGATGTCTTACTCTCGGAGCGTGGCTCTGCTTTAGACTTAAATATCTTGGGCTTGAATTCTCTGATGCTGAGACTCAGCATTGATTCTTTCTTCTACTTATGATAATCAGCATACATTTAACATAATTTGTGGAGTCCTGTTGGGGATGTCAAGTTATGTAAGATTGGCCTCACACAACATACAAAGTTAACATGCCAGTGGGGTTGCTTACCTGCTCTGTAAGTTATTCACGTTTGAAGTGTCTTGTGTATAAAAGTCCTTCTTTTACTTGGGTGTGTTATTTTTCTTTGATTTCTTAAATTTTTTTGTTTTTGTTTTTTATTTATGATTTCTTAAATTTGTATTAGAAGCTTAAGGAACAAATCTTTATAAAGAACTTTAGGCTTACTTGGGTTCTGAAAATAATACTTCATTAATTGTGAACTTTTGATTTAGTCAATTGAAATCAAACATCTAGTACATACCAGAGGTTGCAATAATTATTAAAATTCTTTTTATATTTTAAGGAATTTATATTTAGTCATTTGTTCCTCCAGTGGTAGAAAGAGGCAAAGACTTTTATAGTATGGTTTCTTAATATAACTTTTAAGAATGTACTAATTAGTTGTTATACAGCATTTTCAGGTTTTTCTTGAAGATTAACATATCTATATGTCTATATTCCTAATACATATGTCATTTTCATTGTTGTTTTCACAGGCAATATAATAAAGTAACAAGATGGGTGGAATAAAAATATAAGGGGATTATGCCACTTAAAATCTATAAGTAATATTTTTATATAATAAAAATTAACCTTGGTATTCTTGTTTCTGGACACTATACTTTCAGAATCCATATTTGTTCCTTTGGTTTTCTTAATATTTACTTCTAGCTACTTCTTTTGTGGGTTTGTACTCTAAAATTAATTTCAGTATTTATTTAAAAGATAAAAGTTTATCTTAAGACTGATATGTATTTTTAAAGCACAACTTTAATGCAAAATCCACTTAAGTTTTTTTCTTACTTAACAAGTATTAAATTTCAAATTACAGTACATTTGTCTTTACTAAAAGACCAAGAAAACATAGTGTCAATCTCTTGACTGAAATCTTTGAATAAGGCAATTTTTAAAATCTTATAGTGTTCTAATTGTTTTAAGTTACTAATATGATGATGATCACAAGTCAGTCCCTGGAGCCAGTCAGTGACCTGTAAATAGGTTTTTCAGTGACCTGGGCTTCAGGCAGCTCCTGTGCTTATTAATAGACAGTAAATGCATCTGTCAGTGAGTATCAGGCTAACTGGGTTGGGCTTATTTTTTCCTTCAGACTGAGAGCTATGAACAAAGAATACGCGAGCAACAAGAACAGCTGTCGTTTCAACAAACTCTTATTGACAAGCTAAAATCACAGCTACTTCTGGTGGATTCCAGTCGAGGTATTTTCCTTTCTTCTTTTCTTCCTTTTTTAAATGTATTTCTGAACTTTAGAGAAAAGGTAAATTTTGAGTTTTTCTATTTTTGTGCTTTATTAGTACTGATGCAGAAAGCATAGTACAACTATACATTATGATTATTTAATTGAAATTTGTAGGACATGGAGAAGTGGACACTCACAAGTCTATAGGCTGAAACCTTGGATTGATAAAAGTTCCTAGAGGGCACTTTGCCAGTGAATAACAGAAAGCTTTTTAAAAAGTTGGTGCCTTTGAGATGAAAGTATCAGCCCTAAAAGGATAAGATGAGGTGTGTAGGTGCTGGAAGATGGACATACATTGTACGTCACCATAGATTTCTAGAGATGAAAAGTCAGAAGAGGCCTCTGAGCTCTCAGATAGCCTAACATGTGCTGTGCCCTTCCCATTCCTGTCCTATGCTTCCCTCCATTTAAATGTCATTTGAGTAAACAATCAAAAAAGGTAAGTTTCAGTGAAACAACTGGGTAGCCAAGAAAAGCAGTGATAATAATTGTTAACTTGCCATCAGTATGTAGGTTCATGGTCTGCAGCAAAGTAAGATATAAAAATAAATATAATTTATTTCATGTGTACAGAAAAACATTGCGTTTATATGTAGAAAAGCAAAAGATAAACCATAATGTTAATTAGAAAAGTTCACAAGTAATGAAAATTAGATAGCTTTTTTGTTTTTTTTAAATAAATTTTTAAAACTTGTTTATGGATGTTTTGCCTGAATCATGAGTCTGTACCACATGTGTGCCTAGTACCTACCAAAACCTGAAGGAGTGTTAGACCTCCTGGAACTGGAGTGAGTAGATGGTCATGAGTCACCATGGGGTCCTCGGGAAGGGCAGCAGTGCTCTTAACCAAGCATCTCTCCAGCCATAACTACATTTCTAATTTTCTATAAGCAGAGTTTTTTTTTCAGGTATAATTATCTTAAACAAGAAATGCACACCTAAAAAGTGATGTTAAAAGTTTAACTGGCCTGGGAGTGTAGCTTGGGTGGAGCACTTAGTGCATCCCCAGCCCCATCACCCTCCTAGTTTAGCTGTTGATAAGTAAAATGTAAAAAAGCATAATTAATTCTAGTCTTCTGAATTCTGTATATTTTACCATTGGCTCATGGGAAAATAAGTGTTTAGTGGGAAGGAAAAACTCTAAATGGGCAACTTGCCAAGGTAAATATTACATAAATATTGAATATTGTAAAACTAGGACTTATAATTTATTCTTTTGAAATTACTGAGATATGTTTTTGTTTATTTGGTTTGTTTGTTGGCTTTTCATTGTTGTTTGGTTGTGGGTTTTTTGAGACAAGGTTTCTCTGTGTAACCCCCTGACTGTCCTAGAACTCGCTCTGTAGACCAGGGTAGCCTCAACTCATAGAGATCTGCCTGTTTCTGCCTTCCTAGTACTGGGATTAAAGACGTGTGCCACCATGCCTGGCTTCATTTTTATTCTAATTATTTTTCCAGGGTTTTGTTCTGATGTAGAAGTATTTTGTCTTACAGATAACAGTTATGGCTGTGTACCTTTGTTTGAAGACAGTGAAAAAAGGAAGAATAATTTGACTCTTGATGAACCACATGATAAAGTGAAACTAGGAACACTGAGAGACAAGCAGTCAAAGGTAGGAAGTGCTGTCAGACTCGTTCTTAAGAGAGTAAGGCTTCACAGACTTACAGCCCATTTAGTCTATATGCTCTCACAATTTGAGTGGGTAGAACATAGAAGAAAGTAGGTAATATATATTTTTTCCCTAACATTGCTTCTGCAGAAACCAACATTTAAATGCTGATATGCAATATATCTTCCTTGTTTCAACTTTCTTAGGCAATGACCTACCACTGAATTTTTTTAAGAAAAATGTTTTAATTAGTTTTATGTATATAAATATATGTGTGCACTGTCTGCACACAGTGCCTTCAGAGGTCAGAAGAGGTTTCAGATCTCCTGGAAGTAACTCCAAACTGTGTGAGCCACCATGTGAGTGCTGGGAACTGAACCCATGTTCACTGTAAAAGCAATCATCTCTTAGCCACTGAGCTGTCTCTCTCTCTATTTTATTATTTTTAATTACATTTATGTGGGTATCTATATGTGGATATATGCACATGTATGCAGATGCCCATGGAGGCCAGATGCATTAAATCTCCTTGATCTGGAGTTAGAGTTGCTTGTGAGCTATATGAAGTAGGTACAAGGAACCAAACTCAGGTCCTCTGCAAGGGTAGTGCATACTATTTACTAGTGAGCCGTTTCTCTCCAGCCCTTATCACTAGAACTCTAAACCAAGTTCCGTGTTTGCAAACATGGCATACCCTCCTCAATAGAATTACTTATATTTAAAATAAAGCTTAAGCTTCATATTTCCTGTGTTTTTTTTAAGGATTCGTTTTGTTTGTGTGTGTCTGCATCTCTTTGTGTATGGGTGCCTGTGCCTGTTACACACTCACAAGAGCTAAAAGAGAATACCAAGTATCCTCCACTGTTACTCTCTGCCACCGTTAAGATTTATTTGTGTGTTTTATGTGTGTGAGTGTTTTGTCTGTATTCCTTCATATACACCACATGCATACCTGGTACCCATAGACGCCAGAAGAAATCATCAGATTCCCCTGAATTGGAGTGAAGGATGGTTGTGAACCACTCTGTAGACCCTGAGAATCAAACTTAGGTACTCTAAAAGAGCAAAAAATTATCTTAAACCCCTGAACCATCTCCATAGTCCCAGAGGTGGGAGTCTTTTTCTCAGTCTGGGGCTTGCATTTTCTGCTAGGCTGGAAGCCAGAAAGACCCAGCAATCCTACCTCCACCTCGGCTGGTGCTGGGGTTACAGGTAGATACAGGCGCTCTGCTTGTTACTTGAGTACTTGGATCAGAACTCCGGTCCTCATGATTGCATACAAGCACTCTGCCGAGCCATCTCCCCAGGTTCTCTAGTGGTTCCCCATCCTCCTCGCAAGCATCATAAGCATGTAATGAGATGAAAGTTTTAGCAAAGTAATAAAAATTTAAACTGAGGTAGATGGTTAGACAAAAATGATGCTAGATTTATTTTCTGTTTTTTTTTTTTCCTTCAGCTTCCTTTGCTTGGCTAGCTTATATCCAAAGAATTAATAATACTGTGCCAATTATACTGTATTTGAGGGCAGACTATGGAAAAGGCCTAAGGAAATAAGCTCTGGGTAAGGAGTAAATATCAATTCAGTGATGATCATCATTATCCTTGTTAATAAAAGAGAGACATATGATGGGCTGGAGAGATGGCTCAGAGGTTAAGAGCATTGCCTGCTCTTCCCGAGGTCCTGAGTTCAATCCCCAGCAACCACATGGTGGCTCACAGTCATCTATAATGAGATCTGGTGCCCTCTTCTGGCATGTAAACATACATGAAAGGAGTGTTGTATACATAATAAATAAATAAATCTTAAAAAAAAAAAAGAGAGAGACATATGTAAAAGCCATATTTAATTCTTTGAATAGCTCATGAATTTCATTTTCTTGTGCTATAACCATTTAATAGAAATAAAACTAGACTTTAAAATTTAAAATTATTTTAAAATTTTCTTCTTTTATGTATCTCAATCCAAAGGGCTAGTGAACCCTGAGTATATAAACAAGAAATCTATTTTTTATGTTCATATTTATTTTTCTTTTCAAAATGTTTCTAATTGAAATGAATTACATCATTGCCCCCTCCTGCTCCTCCCTCAAGCCCTTCCTAGCCACCCTCCATTGAACCACTCTCACTTGCCCCCTTTATCAAATTAATTGCAACTTCTTCCTTGACTATTTTATATATAGTGTGTATGTTTTCTTTGATTTTATATAGTGTGTATACATACATACATAATTTGCTGAACCCATTCTCAGTTTTTGTGTATACACGGTTTCTGACCATTCTTAGTTAGACAACCCGGTAATGGGCTTATTGCTGGGAGAGGCTAATTATCCCTCTTTTGTTAGTCATTGGTTGCCTATAGTTCTTTGTCTAGGAGTGGGACCCCACAAATATTTCCTCACAAAAGTTAACATGTCCACTAATATTACCATCGTTCTGGTCTCATTTATGCCGCCATTTCCTGGAGAGATGTTTCACAGCCGACTTCCTGGTATTCTGGCTCTTACGGTTTTTCCACTCCCTCTTCTGTTAGGCTCCCTGTAGACACAAGCAGTGGTGTAGCCGTGCCCATCAGGGCTGGGCTCCCCACTGTCCATCCATCTCTGCACTGTGTCCAGTTGCGGTTCTCTGATGGTTTCTGTCTGCTAAAGAGAGAAGCTCCTTTGATTTGGGGTGGTAGCTGTACTTATCTGTGGGTGTAAGAATAAGATTTAGAATGGAGTAAGGAATTTTGCTGGTCTAAGGAAGTTTGATAGTAGATTATTTTCTAAGGTCCATGACCTCCCTAGCCCCAGGAAGCTGGCTGGATTTCCTGTACCCATCATGATTGCCCTGATGTTTAGTGGGCCTTAAGTCCTATTATACAGCTGTTGATTGCCACTGACATGAGTGCCACTTATTAGACCTGAATGTGTATCGTGCGTGCTGGTAATTGTCATGGTTCATAGGTATTACAGCTATTATATGTTGTGCCCCCATCCCCACCCTACCATCTTGCATAATATTCTGAAATCAGGGAAGCAAGACCACAGGAAAGAGACTTTCTGGTCAGATCCCGCTCTAGTCATCCAGTCCTGTGTCCTAAGTGTGAGGTGTCTTCAACCTGCCTTCACCTTCTGCGAGAGAAACAAGTATTGTCTGGGGAGTCGCTTGGACAGTCCTGACCAACCTTTCAAAAGGAGAGTTCCTTATACCTGGTGCTAGATTTTTGTTAGTGTGTAGTTCTTGAGGGGAGCATTGTCAGCCCAAGTGGCTTAACTTCCTTTAGTGTATATGAATATGTATGTGTGTATACATAAATACTTATGTAGCATGTATAATTTTAGGTAAATATAAAATAATATGATTCCTTGAGGCTTTCTCAAACAATCTTTGGTGTTATTTGTCCCCTTTTCCTCCTCCCTCTGTGTTGACTACCCTCTTCCCTGTTACTCCTTTTCCTAGTTTTTCTCTCACCTGTACTCTGCTGACCACTGCCCCCCAACACACACACACACACACACAATGATTTCGTTATACTTTTAGTTTCTGTGGTTACTCCATGTTGAGTATTTGGAGCCGGAAACCATAGCTGAGAGGGAACATGTGTTTGTCTTTCTGGGTCTGAGTTACCTCACTCAGTGTAGTCTTTTCTAAGTCTTTCCATTTACTTGAAAATTCATGATTTCATTTTTCTTACAGGTGAACAGTATTCCATTGTATATATGTACCATGTTTTCATTATCCATGTTTTTGTTGAAGGTTGTTTTGGGTTATTTCCATTTTCTGACTTTTGTGAATAGGATGACTGTGAACATACCTGAGCAGGGTGTGTAGAATGGGATGTCGGGTCGTTTGGCTATGTGCCAAGGAGTGATATAGCAGATCATATGGTAGATTTATTTTTCCTTTTTGAGGATTCTCCAAACTAGTTACCAGAATTACTACACTAGTTTGCATTCCTGGTGAATGATAGGTCTTCTCTCCACGTCACCAGCATTTTTTGGCAGTTGTTTTGTTGATCTTAGCCATCTGACTAGGGAAGATGGAATCTCAAAGTAATTTTAATTTGCATTTCCATTATTGCCAAGGATAACAAATACCTCTTGAGGTATCTCTAAGCCGTCATTATTTTTTCTAGTGCAAACTTTGTTTAGATTCCTAGTCCATTCACTAGTCCATTTTCCATTGGTTCATTTGTTCCTTTGACTCTTTAGATTTTTTTTCAGTTTTTTGTATATTCTTCATTTAATCCCCTGTCAGATATATACTGGCAAGGATTCTCTCGCATTCTGTGGATTTCTTCTCTTGCTTGATTGTTTTCTTGACTGTGCAGAAGTTTTTTGCTTTTATGAAGTACCAGTCGTTGATTGTTGGCCTTAGTTATTGGGCAAGTAGAATTCTATTCAGAAAGTCCTTTCTATTTTAGCCAGCTGTATTTTGTCAGCTACCACCTATGCTTGCTTTAGCAGTTTTAGTGTTTCAGGTTTCAAATTTGAGGTCTTTGATCTACTTGAATTTTTCTTTTTCAGGATGATAACATAGAGGTCTTGTAGACAGACGTTTCTGTCCCACCCTGTCCCACAGCCATTTAGTCCCAAAGATACACACAGAAAACTACATTAATAATAAATTGGTTTGCCTATTAGCTCAGGCTTATTAGTAACTAGCTCTTACAATTTAAATTAATGCATAATTCTTGTCTGTGTTTAGCCACATGGCTTGGTACCTTTTCTCAGCATAGTATTTTCATCTTTCTTCCTCTGAGTCTGGGTGGTGATTGCAGACTGAGCCTTTTCTCGTCCCAGAATTCTCTTAATCTGGTTGTCCCACCTATACTTCTGCTTGGCTAGTGTTCAATCAGTGTTTTATTAAACCAATACAACTGACAAATCTTTACAGGGTACAAGAGCATTATCCCATAGCAGCTCTAATTTCATTCTACTGCCTATGGACATCAGTTTTTCCCAGCACCATTTGTTAAAGATGCTGTCTTTTCTCATGTATGTTTTTCACTTTTTGTCAAATATCAGATGGCTGTAGTTGTGAATACTCATGTTTGGGTCTCTGTTTTATTCTTTTGTTTTCTTGTCTGTTTATGTGCCAGTGTCATACTGTTCTTATTACTATGGTTCTATAATGTGTTTTTAAGGATAATTAAATTTATTACATATTTGAGAGCTGGCAATATATTCGGTGTAAAATAATTGGTCTGAACTTAGAGAAAATATTGGCCAAACAAGCAATTGAAGTTAAAATCTTTTGCATTTGCATATGTTTTGATCTGTATTTAATAAGTTATAATTAAATTCATTTTTAGGTAATACAGATGAGTATAGAATAGAATCCTAGGAATATAACTTTGAAATATTTTGTTATATTAGTTTTTTTTTCAAAAATGAAGGCAATGCACATTTAGTTACTCTTTTGTAAAAGTACACATTTGCATGATGAGAATAGGAAAGCAAAGAGGAATGGATAAGATATACTTTAATATGTTGATATTTAAATAAAATATCTCTTTCTAGAAGTTGTACTTCTAATCAGTCAGATTTCTGTATGAATTATTAACAGAAATGACTTTAACCAGTAAGAGAAGGATTTACTACTAGCCATACTACTAGCCACCGAGAGTCCTTTTGTCCTTATGTCTGATGAATGGCTTGGAGATTTGTTTTCTTTGAACTATTTCTGTTAGAATATGCAAGAGAGGGAAGGCTGTTGGACACTGACAAATTACAAATTACAAATTGTGTAGCCGCCTAGAGACATGAATCATGAAACAAAGGAATGAGAGATACATGGTGAGGAGACCTCTTGAGAAAGTTTGACTTGGAGGGGGATTCGATTGGGGGAGGGGGAGGGACATGGGAGGCGGTGGCGGGGAAGAGACAGAAATCTTTAATAAATAAATTAATTAATTAATTTAAAAAAGCTTAAAATTGGGTTAGGGGTTTAGCTCTGCAGTTGAGTGTTTGCCTAGTATACATGCATCCTGAATTCAGTCTCCAGTATTGCAGTCACTCAGCCATAAAAATTGTATTTATAGTTCAGCATGTGCTTGTGCTATCTCTATACAGAGAGTATGCACGAGTCCTTGTCAAGACAACAAGGCCCTATCATTAGATAATGTTTAGGATTCTACTTAAAGTTGAAAGAATGTGCCTATTTTAACGTTAATAACTGGGTTTCCCCCTCTTGTTTACCCCTATAGTTATGTATCTTTTACAGTGTCTGTCATATAACTAGCTACCCTAAACTTACTAAAAACTTAACAGCTAAAAACAAATTATTTTCTCAATTTCTGTGTATCAGAAACTCAGGAGTGACTTAGCTGGATGGTAGTGGCTCACTATTTCTCATGTTGTTGAAATCAAAAGTAGGCAAGGATTGCAGGTTGAAGGCTTCACTTGTTGAAGGATGTACTTCCAAGATGGCTCATTCACATGAGTTTTGGCAGGAGGCTTTTGCCATATGGGTGTCTACTCATAGCCTGGCAGCTAACTTTCCTTAAAGTAAGGGATCCAAGAGTAGAGTGCAAGTACTGTCCGTGACCTAGTCACGAGAGTCACGTACCTTCACTTCCACGGTTTCATTAGAAGTTGTTGGTTGCTCCAGGAACAAAGACCTAAATCCTCATTTATATATTTAAAGTATTACAGGCATTGTAGGTTACAGTCTGGAAAGGAAAATGTTAATAGTGAGGAGTAGAGTAGAGGGTTAGCTCTCCCATCAAATGATGGCAATGAATTCAGTTTTCTGAATCCTATGACTACACTCAAAAGGAAGAAACACCATGTCCTATGATGTTAAGAATTTGAAAAATTATAACTTGAATATAGACTTTTATGAGAATGTAAATGGGTGATGAATGCTAGGAGAACTGAAAAATCATTGCATGTTACTAATTTTTATAAGCAATTTTAAAAATTGAAAATATTTATAAATAAATAAAATTATGTGAAAATGTGCCCTCCTCCTCTCTCCCCCTCCCCATTGTGTGCGCATACCTTGTGCCTTTAAGCTTTGAGTACTCAGTGTTTTTTGCAGCTCAGAGTTTCAAATGCTACTACAGCTCTTCCAAAACAAATGTGGTCAGGTGTGTCACAGCAGTACCCCATGGTACTTTACCAGCTTCTCTGTTAAATAAAAGTAAATACTTTCTTTTGCTGTGATAAACACTACAAACAAAAGCAGCTTGCGGAGGGAGGGATTTATTTCATCTTAAGTTGTAGTTCATCATGAAGGGAAGTCAGGGCAGGAACTCCAGGTACCTGGAGGAAGGAACTGAAGCAGAGACTGTGGAAGAATGCTCTCCATGGCTTGCTCAGTATGCTCTTTTATACAACCCAGGGTCGCCTGCCCAGGCATGGTACACCAGCATCAACCACTAAGAAAATGCCCCTACAGGCTTGCCTATAGGCCAAACTAATGGAGACACGTGCTTAATCTAGATTCCCTCTTCTCTGGGACTTCAGTTTGTATCAGGTTGACAAAAGCCAACCAGCAATATTGCTTCAGTTTTTATGATGGACAGTTTTGGCAAGGGTGTAAAGTTGAACACCATTAAGCTTTCTGGCCTTCTGTAGTTTATAGAATCTTAGATTGATGTGAGATTCCCCTCTGTATGCTGTAAATACCATTGGTGAATAAAGAAACTGTCTTGTCAGAACTCAGGTAGGTGGGGAAAACTAAACTGAATGCTGGAAGAAAGAGAGGTGGAGTCAGTGAGAAGCCATGTACCAAAGATAGACACTGGAACTTTACCCGGTAAGCCACTGCCATGTGGTTATACACAAATTAATAGAAATGGGTTAAATTAAGAGGTAAGAGTAGCCAATAAGAAGCTAGAGCTAATGGGCCAAACAGTGTTTTAAATAATATAGTTTCTGTGTGATTATTTCAGGATTGAGCTGCTGGGCAGCCGGGAAACAAACAGGCAACCTCCTCTAACATTCACTAGGCAGGTCTAGGTCTTGAGTGGCATCTTCATGCTTGTGTTGAACTCCTGGCTGATCTCCAAAGTAGGCTATATATCTAAGTGCTGGGCCCCATACCTTCCTTCAGTACTTTAGAAACATTTTCTGTTGCAAGTCTCTTAAACAGCCTTTTTTGTTTAAGTTGCTATATATTATAGTCCAGGTTTTGTATCTAGAGAGCATAACATACAGATAGATGGCAGACATACTACTTATCATTTAAACAAAACTTAAAATTCAAACTTTTCAACAAGACATTAATTACCAAGTGATTTCCATCATAAAGTTAGATCTGAATTATTTTGTCGAAGCATAGTGCTATACATAAGCTTTCTAAGAGAAGAGACTGCAATAAAATTGACAGTTACTCAAATGTTAAAAATATTGTCAGCCAAGCAGTGGTGGCTGCACACACCTTCAATCCCAGCACTTAGGAATCAGAGGCAGACATATTCCTCTGAGTTCAAGGCCAACCTGGTCCTACAGAATTATTTCCAGGACAGCCAATGTTACAAAGAGAAACCCTGTCTTAAAAAAATTAAAACCTCAGTGTCCTATTAATGCTCACCTTTGTCTTCCCCTCTTTTATTATCTAGAAATGGTAGCTGGATTTGATAAATGATGGTACATGCCATCTTGGTGCTTATAGAAAACTGAAGAAAGATGTATTTTTTTGTGTACTGTGTTAGAGAATCCTAGCCTTTTCAGTGGAAGCAAATGTCTCATTCTAAGGGTAGAACCAGTTTTATTTTTATTCAGTTCAAAGTTTTTTTTTCTAGAGTTACAGAATTAAATATCACAAATTCTAAGAAAAATGTTGATAGCTAAAGCTTTTTAATAAGTTCCTTAAATTTAAGTTAGTATTATATACATGCAAATATAATTATATACACATATATAATAATTTTTAGAAAAAGAAAATGAGAAGTGACATCTTCTGTCTAACATTTAAGTAAATTTGAATATGTTAGTGTGGCTTTCTTTTCTCTCCTTATGCCCCCAAATTGTCCCTTTTCCACATCACCCTCCTTCCCCTTTTTAATTGTAAAGCCTGCAAAATGGAATTGGCATACTCTTTCCTACCTTGGCTTCTCGTGCTAAAACATGAAAAGACTGTTTCCTCTCACAACCTCAGTAGGTAAGGAACAGCATCCCCATCCCACCCACCCCAGCAACACAATCAGTTTCTCTTGCTGTTGTGTTAAATTCAGTCATCCTAAAAGCTCTTCACATCTAGTTTGAAGGTATTATTTTTCAATGTTATAGAATACATCTACATTCAGTTTGTCATATTTTGGTTTTGTTTTATGTTCTCTTCCTTAAAATATATGCTAAGAATCCAGCCTCATGTACACAACATAGTTGTACAGGAAAGCTTTTAACTGTTGTGGGTATTGTTCTTTGATAATGCACCAATGTTGGTAAGAGGCAGTTCCTTTTTTTTTTTTTTAATTTTGTTGGCATGTGTGTGCACACACCCCATGGTGCACATGTGGAGGTCAGAAAACAACATGCAGCAGTCTGGATGAAATCCAGTCGTCACGTTTGATGACAGTGCCCTTACCTGCTATGCCATCTCAGCAGTTTCTTAAACATCTGGAGCCACTTCAGTGAACTTCTCACCTACTTAAAAGTCAGTGGTCTGTCTTACATTTTGACTGTCTTTTTACTCATATGGTTTTATAATGAGCTAGCCATTTGGGGAATATTGATTTACTGAACTGTATAGATTATAGATCTTCTAAGTGTTGACTTATTAGATATTTAAAAATAAAATTTAATATAATCGTCAAGCACACCACAGGAACCTTTAGCTATTGGGCAGCTGTCAAACTTACTATAACAGGTACAACTTTTCCAAATTTTAATTCTCACTTGAAAGCTCAAATTTTATTATTGGCAACAAGTCTTGTCACTTGTTTTCCTTAAAGTGACAGGCTAGCTTCATTTGCTTTTGAGAAAATGTCTGAATAACCATAGCCTGCATGTCATTCATTCTTTGAAGTGAAAATAGCATTCTATTAAAAAAAAAGTGACTAGTTCAGCTTGCAGCTCAAACATTACACAAGTTTTTCCCCCAAGACAACCCTTGCACTTGAAGAGAACGTCAGCAGATTCTCTCATGGTTGCTTCAGTGCCGTCAGTGTAGGTGCCAGTTCGGGAAACACTGCACATACCATCTTAACGCTGTTGTGAAAGTAGGTTAGCTAATGGATGGCACCATGTGAGTTTAATCATTAACCATTTTGCAGCTGCCAAAAGAAATCATAGACCATGGTAGAGAAAGGTGTCTTTATTAGCTGTAAAGTAGCAAACAGCAAGAATGCATTTGCCTTGTTCTCACCTGGGCAGGAGGAGGTTTACATAGGAGAGCCTGCATGGATGCTTGTGGTTATGTTGGTAGAAAGGAACATTTAGCTTTGGGAGTCCTGCACTTTAAAACAAGCACCATTTCAGCTGGATCTTTGGGGGAACTTCTGGTCTTTCAAGTTGACTGTCTGTAAACATAGTCCTGAAAAATGCCCAGATAAAGACTAGTCAGAGCTTGAATTCTTGACATGTACAAGGACACACAAGCCTGGGACAGACGTGTCTCTCCAATTGCAGATATCTTGAAAGGATCCTAGGATTCACAGGCAGGGGTCCTCAATTCTGTGTTGAGACTCACTGGTTAAGACAGATTGCAATTTCCTCTTAGAGAAATACTAAGAAGATTCTCGCATTTCATCAACTTTAAGAGTACGTGAAGATGCTAGGTGGTGGTGGCGCTTGCCTTTAGTCCCAGCCCTCGAGAAGCAGAGGCAGGCAGATCTCTGTGAGTTTGAGGCCAACCTGGTCTACAGGAACTTGTTCCAGGACAGTGGGGGCTGTTATACAGAGAAACCCTCTCTCGAAAAACAAAACAAACAAAAGAATGCATGAAGATCACAATGATTTCTCATAGTTCCTTTTCACATTTATTGGATAATTTTTATATATTAAGTTATACTTACAAATTGTTTCCAGTTACTGCTGGGAACCTCCTTCAGCCAGTGGCCTTTGAGAGGCCGGAACAGGTTGGGCATGGCCTTGGGCACCAAAAAGGTGTGTGTTTGCATGCCTCCTCTCTTTCTCCTCTCTCACCTGGCTGCTGGATTCAGTTCCTGTTGCCCCGTTCAGAGGACTGTGATCTGTGAGTCCCTCCTTTAAAAAAAAAAAAAAAACTTCATTATACCCAATTCTGAGCTAGTGTGGGACTATTTTATTCACATTCTTCTACAAGTTACTTACCTATAAACATAGCAAATGCTGATTTTTACCTTTTTACTGTAATCTAGTAGAAGTTTTGTGGAGACAAGGCGTATTTAGCTCAGGGTAGAATACTTGCTTAGTATACGCAGTTCTGGATTTAAGAATGCATGTAGTGGGACAGCAGAGTCGCTCAGTGGTACTTCCACCAAGTCTGTGACCTACTTGGTGAAAGAAGATTGCCCTGGTAGGCACGCACAAGTCTCACTCATCACACATACGTGTGTGAATTAATGTAATAAATGTTTTAGAGAGAGAGACTCTATGAGGATCAAAAAGCCAGTTAGCTTTGTTTAACCACAGGATCTCCAGCACTTTTCCTAATGTGGTATTTTGACTTTTTTTTTTAATGGGCCTTATAATCCCTTCAGTGACATTGCTAAAATTTAGAGGTGGAGAGGGCGGATCACCTAAGTTGTCATTTGCACCTAACACATTATACTCTGAACTGTCCTGCTTACTAGGCAGACTTGCTAGTTATGACAGCAGACTCACACTGAAAGATTCTTTTCTTTGCCATTAGTCATATTTCCATATTCTTTTTAAATTTTTAAAGGGTTTTTATTTTGTATTTTGAGTATGGTTTTATTAAATGTAAGATACAAAAATGAATACTATTGCTACCAAAAGAGTTGGCATCTTTTTGTCAAAGTTTTTAATTGTCCAAATAAAAAGAGAAATATAAAAATATGGAGAATATTAACATCTAATCTACATTTTCCATTGGCAATAGAATAAAACATCAACTGAGTTTTTTTTTATTTCTTCTACAGCTACATAATGAGATCATTTCACATTTTTTTAAAACTGAATTTACAAAATAATAGAGCCGGGTCTTTAAAACTCGTGGTATCTGTTTTTTATTATGTGTGTGCGTGTTTTGCCTGCATGTACGTATGTGCACCACATGCATGCCTGGCGCCAGTCAGCTGCATATGCACCCAGGGAGCAAGGAGCGATGAATGCAGGCACTTTGTTCTCCTGTTATGATCATCTCTGATCTCAGCCCGTGAGGTGGGAGGCACATTTAAGTCAAGTCTTCCCTTACTTTTCTGGAAACACACTCATCGACATACTCAGAATTGTGTTTCCATGGTGATTCTAAATCTAATCACGTTGACAATAAAGATTGATCATAAGAATACTGTGTACATTAAATTACAGGTAAAGAGTTTTCCTAGATCAATTAAGTTTAAAAGGAGCATTTGGGAGAGGGGTATGAAAAATCATATTTAAAATGGCTACTTAAAATATGTGGTTTCTATTTTGCATGAGAATTCACCTCCAGAAATAAATATTTATACTCCTTAAGAATGTAAATTAAGGGACTGTGCACTTGAGAGCACAGTCTCTTCCAGAGAAACTGGGTTTGATCCTCCAACAACCACATGGCAGGTCACAACTCACTTGTAATTCTAGTTTCAGGAGATCCAGTGTTCTCTCCTGGCCTCCAAAGGTACCAGGCATGGGTGTAGTACACAGACACACATACAGGCAAAACCCATTCATATAAAATAATAAAATACTTTTTAACAAAGTAAATTCAGAAAGATATATGTAGAATGTAATGAAAAGAAAAGGGCTTAAAAGACAGGGTAATAGAAAAATATTACTCTTCAATGTGATGTTAGTAGATTTAAAGTCATAATGGTTATATACAGATGAAGTATTTTTAACTTTTTAAAAGTATCATTGAATTGATAGATATTTTGGTGGATTTATATTAATCCAGAATCCTGTAAAGAACTTGGAAGTAATTAGGGTGTTTAATTTTTTTATATATTGTTTATAAAACTTGTTATTTCCTTCAAAACCCTGGGATGAATCCCGTTTTGCCCTGGAGTTGTTCCCACGCTGGCAGTGGATTTGCCTCACACACTGTCTTGTGCGTAGCAGACCAGGCTCCTAGTAGTTTGCTCCTCATAGATTTTTACGTGTATATAAATCTGTTCAGATCAATTACAATCCCCTGTTTTTATACTTATCTCATTCCTGTACTTTTTTCTGGTCCTATTTTCTGGGTCTTCTCTTGTTTTTGCTTTCTCCTTAGTTCAGTTAAACCTTGATATCGCCAAGAATTTTGTTTCACTATATCTGAAGCTCATATGGAAATATCCAGCCTCAGTTGGTCTTTTAATATTTAATTCTTTAAATTCTAAAAAAATCTACATGAACGTGAATCCCTTGCTTTCTGCTTCTTTTTCCACAACTCATGTTTCCTTTTCCCCAGCTCACATTTGTAGCTTCACAGTTTATCACCCTTTATCGACCTTCTCCCCCCTTGGTGGGTTTCTTGATTTACATTGCTCAGAGTAAAAGTAGCTCTCCTGCGTGGACCTGTACTCCCTGTGCTCAGGATGCTTAGTCAGAAGGGGCCCTGAGAATTGAAGACCAGCCCGATCCACACAGTCAGTTCTAGTTGGCCATTTTCTTTTTTTTTTATTTTTATTTATTAAAGATTTCTGTCTCTTCCCCACCGCCGCCTCCCTTTTCCCACCCCCTCCCCCAATAAAGTCCCCCTCCCTCGTCAGCCCAAAAAGCAATCAGGGTTCTCTGCCCTGTGGGAAGTCCAAGGACCACCCACCTCCATCCAGGTCTAGTAAGGTGAGCATCCACGAAACTGCCTAGGCTCCCACGAAACCAATAGGTCCAGTAGAATCAAAAACCCGTTGCCATTGTTCTTGAGGTCTCAGTAGTCCTCCTTGTCCGCTATGTTCAGCGAGACCGGTTTTGACCCAGGCTTTTTCAGATCCCTTAAAATCACGCCTTGATCCAGCATTCAGGAAGCAGAGGCAGGCAGATCTCTGTGATTTCAAGGCCAGTCTACAGCAGGAGTTCAAGGACAGTCACTGCTACGTGAGAAACCCTGTCAAAAAAAGAAAATTACCAAAAATAAAGTGTAGTTCTCTTTTTTGTTTTAAAAGAACAATCTTCTTGAACATAATTCAGGAATTATATGAATTGGTACTGACTCAACTGAGTTGCCCAAGCACCTAAAAGTAAACATTTTTGCATGCAAGGATCCCATCTAAAGTTAGAAGGAATACTTCGTGCAAACTGTCATAATATGGCAGGCACTGCTATGTATGTCACTGCGAACTTACCCCTCTATTTAAATTAGTTTCCTAGGGCTGCAGGTATAGCTCACTGGTGGTAAAGTACTTGCCTCGATGTTTTGAAGTCATGGGCTCAATTCCCAACAATAAATTAGTAAAAATAAAAATAAAATAAAATAAATAAAGGTTTAGGTTACTTAAATATAAGAAAATATACAAATACTTCCACTTTCTATATCAGCTATAACAAAGATAAGACTTGTCTCAAAATGTAAACTGAGCCATGCCTATAATCCTAGCACTTGGGAAGCTGAGGCAGGAGGATCTTGATAAGCTCTCAGTGACATACTTAGCAATGCCTGGTCATGTTGCTAGCAGAGGATGTGTGACCCCCTTGCTCCAAACCCTTACCAGCAATTGGTGGTGGTTGTGGTTTGGATTTCACCATTATGGTGAGTGTATAATAATTGCTTTTATTTCTTGTTCCCAATCACAACCAATGTTGAGCATCTTTTCATGTGTTCATTAATTTTAACACTACTATTTTATTTTTATGTAGAGAGTTTTGTCTGCGTTTCTGTATGTGTATTACAGTCATACACTCCGCAGAGGCCAGAAGAGGGTGTTGGATTTCCTGAAACTGGAGTTATGATGGTTGTGAGCCACCATGTGGGTGCAGAGAATTGGAAACTAAGTCCTCCGGGAGAGTAACCAGGGCTCTTCACCGCCGAGCCATCTCTACAGCCCCCACCCAGTAACACACTGTGGCTCTGGGTTCCTAAGTGAGAGATTTAATTTTTTGATTTTCTTCGTGGTACAGAATTATGGGCTCCAAACACCTCTTTGACATTTGTTTTCCAAATATTGCTACCGCTCTGTAGCACATGAGTGGCCTCTCTTCCTCCGCTGAGAATCAT